GGGTCACCAATTTGTGGCATCTCCGTCAGGTTTATCTTCTTCGTCGGGGTCACCAATTTGTGCCATGTTGGGAGACCGTATGAATGAGACACGGGTTGTAGTTAGTCTCTGATATTAATCTGTTTATTAATGTGAACTGCGCGACTATTTATACGATATAGAATTGCCATAACTTTATAATGCGAACAGCTAGGGACTGGAATTCGCTGCCTGCTGCTGTATTTCCTGAACACTATAATCCGGGCGTTTTCAAGGCGAGAGTGAATAGGCACTTACAGGGCAGATATGTACCATCCTAGACTGCATCTCACTTAACACCAGGTGCAATGAGGATCATTTCGATTTTTAGCTGTGAATGCAGATTTATAGGGCTAAGAAATCCTTAATACACAGTGCAAAAATTTTTGTTCTACGACAAAAATTGACGAAGTTATGGCCAAATTACTAAAAAAGTTCACTGACCGCCCGGCGCGGGGACGATGACGTCATTATATCCGATCCGAACGCTGCCGGCGTACTGCGTGGATAGAAAATATTTTTTTCTAGCCAAATTATCAGTTTTAGAGAAAAACTTGTAATGACATTTATTCATCAGAATAAAGTAAGCTATCGATAGGTAATTTTTAAAAATGGAAATTGTGAAAAATAACGCAAAAAATCCATACGCTCATACGATTCAATGGCACGCAGAGACGCGATTGGGGTCTCCGCGGTGGTATATTTGGCGATTTATTCAAATAAAGTGTACATAAGTGTTGTTAGAGTCATATCTTCTTCCAAGTAAAATATAAAAATGTATAAGTATTAATTTATTTACTTCTAACAATAAGGTATAACTTCTAACAATATGACATTGCTATGAAAATCNATTTTGGATGTAAATAGTTATGTTTAGTGAGTGTAGTTCGAGTTTTTATTTCTAATTTGTTTATGTCTGTTTTTGTCCATTTTATTATTCCAAAAGAGTAAGTTAGAATTGGTACTGCAAATGTATTAATCGCCTTGATTAAGTTTTTGGAGTAGAGTTGCTTTTTACAGATTAAATTTATGCGTCGGAAATATTCTTGTGTAAGATCTTTCTTAATTTTGATATGGTGAATCCCTTTATCTTGCTGAATACCTAGATATTTATAAGTGTCGTTTGAGTCCATTAGCTGAAAACTATGAATTTCATTGGTGTTCAAGGAACATTTAACTTTACCCCTAACAATCCTCAGTGTTCTACATTTATCCAGTCCAAATGTCATATTAATATCTTTACTAAAAGTTTCTGTGATCTCAATAAGTTTTTTCATGGCCTGTTCTGATTTAGAGAAAAGCTTAATGTCGTCCATGTACATTAGGTGGGTTACTGAAGTAGATTCGTTGAGTTTATATCCGTTGCAGGAGTCATTATCGAGAAGGGTGGATAAGGGGTTAAGTGCGAGGCAAAACCATAAAGGGCTCAAGGAGTCACCTTGAAAGATACCATTTCTGATTGGAATTTCCTCTGTTCTAATTTGGTTAAGGATAAGTGATGTTTTCCAGTCAGCCATGGTATTTTCCAAGAAAGTAATTATGGTTGGGTTTACTTTATAAATTTGTAATACGCGTATCAACCAGGAATGTGGAACACTATCGAAAGCTTTTTTGTAATCGATGTAGGTAACGTTAATATTTCTTTTATGTTTATGTGCATGTTTGAGAATAATAGAATCGATAACCAGTTGCTCCTTACACCCAAGATGATTTCGCCTGCACCCTTTTTGTGCTTCAGCCAGAATATTGTTGTTTTCAATATGCGCGTTAAGTTTATTAGTTATACATGAAGTGATTAGCTTGTAAAGTGTAGGTAGGCATGTGATAGGACGGTATTGTGACGGATCTATTGTGTTTTTACTTTTGGGTAACATATAGGTAACACCCTTTGTTAGAAATTGTGGCAAGTTAGCGTTTCCCTGTATAACGTCAGTTATTACTCTTCCTAAAGTGTCGTGCAATATGTAGAATTTTTTCAACCAGAAGCAATGCAAACCATCTACCCCGGCCGCCTTCCAATTTTTCATTTTACTTGTGACATTCTGTATATCGTCTTGATCTATGTTATTGAATTCCATCTCATTAATATTTTGCCATTTAATCTCTTCGTCTTTAATCCATTGCGCTTGATAGTTGTAGTTACTGTGTTTTTCCCATATATCTGCCCAGTAGTTTTGGAGATCTTCAGTTGTGGGTGCTTCTTTGTCTGTTTGTTCTAAGTTAGCTTCATTCTGTCCCAAGTTTCTGTAAAATATTCGTTCGTTTTTTGTAAATAGTTTATTGTCTTCCTTACGATTCAGTGCTTTTTTATACCGTCTTAACCTCTGTGATTTTAGTGATAACTTTTGTTTTAGCGTGTCCAAAAATTCTTCCGGTCTTCTATTATTTCTTTCATGAGTAGAGTGTATTTGGTTCTTTCTAAATATTGCTTCTACTGAGTTACGGAGCCTATTAGATACGTTATTGTTTGAAATATATTGAGTTACCCTGGCAATATCTTTCCTAAGCTTCTCTATGTCATTTTCTAATCTGGTTTGCCAAGCCGGTTTTTTATGGATTTTAGTAGTAGAGCGTCTGTTTAGGTGATGAGGTTCAATATTGTAGCCTAACTGTTTACAAATTACTAATGCACTGCAATATATTAATGTATGGACTTGGTCTATGTCTGTTTCTTCTGAGATAAAGCTTTTTAAAATTTTGGTATTAAATAGGTCTAATAAACGATACAGGTATTTGTTTTCGCGTAACTTCGGAAGCCTGGGTCTCGTTACAGGGTCGATTCCTGAGTATTCAGCGAGTGCGGTATGAAGCATTTCCGTCACTGTCTGAATATACGTATCAGATAAATCATCTGATACTGTACGTGTGTTTGATGACGAAGGATTGGTTGATGTTTGTGTTGAGTCCTGCGTTAGTATGGGAAAAGACTGTGGCTGTGACTGTGATAGAAGTGAGTTTAAGGGAAGGTTGTCTTCAAAGCTGGAGTCATGTGTATTAGGTGATAATGTGTTCTGGTTCATTCCACTGGAGTGAAAGGTAGTCTCTTCTTCCTGTTTTAACTATTCTGCTACTTCTTTCTTTATGTTTTCTATAACGGAATCTGGCAATAATTTATTTCGAAGTATCACCCTACGCTGGTCTGCAATTCTCTGACTTGATATATTCAGTTCTGGGTATTGGAGATTGAAACGTTCAAACAAGTTCTTGCAGTACATTGTGCGGTCTTTTTCAAGTTTTGTAATGTAGTAATATGTGCGTATGATAAATGTATTAATCTCATCATTCCATCTCATACGCACTCTAGGTTTTCCAGCCTTGGTGGTCGCAGGCATAATGGCTGGTGCCTCCTGCGAAACATCCTCGGTTGGGCTAGCAGTTGGATTGGTGCTATTTGAAAGTTGGGTGAACTCACATTGTTCGGGCTCCCCGCGCAAGGCAGGTCCCCCGGCAGAGGGCCGTCCACCTAAACCCCCGCCACCGATGGCTCGTATGCTGTGGCGCCCAGCATCGGCTCCAGGCGCGCCCCGGCGATCGCCCCCGGGAAGCGGCATTAAACGTTTACTCATACTTCTTAACTCCATCTTGATGGGTTTGCCCTTGCCTTGTTGGTCACCCGCATGGTTAATTCATTGCGAGTGTCCGCCCCCCACGTGGCTACAGTTGGTCGAGCTCGGACGAAAGGTTGGACTATGGGGGCTTATTATTATTATTATTATTATAATAAATAAATAAAACTCATTTTCTTGATGTTGTTTTGTATCGCATGTTGTGTATTAGCCTATAATTGTTGTTGCATTGTAACTTTGTTCATAATTGTCATTTTTAAGTGTACATGTTGTTATGTAACAATGTTGGTAGACCTAATAAATAAATAAATAAAACATTTCATTTTTATTATTTTTTTCAAAACTTAGCTTAGCAATTCTTAGTGTTCTACTTCCCCAGGGCACCATTCGCGACTACTAACAATATTAGCACCAACAGTATGCATTGCAATGGATTTTATTACACCGGAACTTGACGGAATATGTGAAGCTGGTCGAGCTGCTGTGAATGATGAATACGAATAAAACTCAAGAACAGACAGCGAGCCAGCCAGAAACTGAATAAACCAAATTGAATGCATTAAGCTGTCAACAGCACATTACGATTCCCTCAAAAACAAACCCAAATGCTACTCACTCCTGGAGCTGGGTCCCTGGCCCACCACGAGCGTGGACTCGCCCTCGCCGGAGCCGGTGGTGGCGGACACCCAGAACTCGTACAGCTGGCTCTCCAGCAGGTTGCAGCTTGAACATCAGCTCCAGCTGCGGCTGCTCGTCCATTGTAACTAGGTACTCACTCCTGGAGCTGGGTCCCTGGCCCACCACGAGCGTGGACTCGCCCTCGCCGGAGCCGGTGGTGGCGGACACCCAGAACTCGTACAGCTGGCTCTCCAGCAGGTTGCAGCTTGAACATCAGCTCCAGCTGCGGCTGCTCGTCCATTGTAACTAGGTACTCACTCCTGGAGCTGGGTCCCTGGCCCACCACGAGCGTGGACTCGCCCTCGCCGGAGCCGGTGGTGGCGGACACCCAGAACTCGTACAGCTGGCTCTCCAGCAGGTTGCAGCTTGAACATCAGCTCCAGCTGCGGCTGCTCGTCCATTGTAACTAGGTACTCACTCCTGGAGCTGGGTCCCTGGCCCACCACGAGCGTGGACTCGCCCTCGCCGGAGCCGGTGGTGGCGGACACCCAGAACTCGTACAGCTGGCTCTCCAGCAGGTTGCAGCTTGAACATCAGCTCCAGCTGCGGCTGCTCGTCCATTGTAACTAGGTACTCACTCCTGGAGCTGGGTCCCTGGCCCACCACGAGCGTGGACTCGCCCTCGCCGGAGCCGGTGGTGGCGGACACCCAGAACTCGTACAGCTGGCTCTCCAGCAGGTTGCAGCTTGAACATCAGCTCCAGCTGCGGCTGCTCGTCCATTGTAACTAGGTACTCACTCCTGGAGCTGGGTCCCTGGCCCACCACGAGCGTGGACTCGCCCTCGCCGGAGCCGGTGGTGGCGGACACCCAGAACTCGTACAGCTGGCTCTCCAGCAGGTTGCGCACCTTGAACATCAGTTCCAGCTCAGGCTTCTTGTCTGCGGACACTGTGAAGCTAGAGTGTTTGCCTAACCTGGAAAATGCGAAACAACGTATTATTCTCAGAACTTCATACAAGTATTAAAATACCTGCGTTTAAGCATCTGAAATGTCTCAACAATGTGAACATAGGCTTACCCAGAGGAAAAGGGGCAAAGGGGGACAGTAACGCTCTGGTTATGCCTCCGGTCCGGATCAGAAGTTATAGTGCTTCAATATAAGTTACGCTAGAATGCATCGGGCGTTATTGCAAAGAACGAAATTGAAATTCTAATTCAGAAAATTCTGGTCGGATTTTGTATCTATGATAATGACGAGTAAATAACAATTTTCCTTTACATTTCATTAAAATATGAGGACTTACCGTCCCGCCTCTCTATAGTACACCGTGTAGTGCGATATGATGCCGTTGGGATACAGCGGTGGCAGCCAGCTCACCAGTACTGTGTCACTGGAGAACGCCAGAGCCTTGATTTTCTCTGGAGCTGATGGCACTGTAAGGCAGATAAAGAAAAGTTGAAATAGATAACAGATACGCCAATGGCCTTGCCTCTTGCGCCGGCACCGTCTTTGTCGTGCAGATGCGCCAACGGGTACTAAACTGAGCGAATGAGTTGTCACCCCCTGATGCTTGGCACCCGGGGCGGACCACCCCTACCGCCTCCCCTTATGCCGCCATTGATCCTAAACAGCATCTCACTTAACATCAGGTGCAAATGCGGTCAAATATCTGACTTGTTTTGCATTAAATAAAAAAGCAAGGTGCATGTAATAAAATCTGTAAATTCGAGCATTTACTTAGTTACTTATTTTTCATCATCATCATCATTTCAGCCACAAGACGTCCAATGCTGAACAAAGGCCTCATAGGCGTTGAAATTGTGCATCGTTTTAGATGCTTTTTATCCATTTGTGTCTAAAGCCTGGTCCGTAAGCACGTAGAATTTTGTCCAATGACCCCAAGCTACCCATCCGCTGTTGTTGCTGTCGCGCTCGCACACTCACTGCGGGCGCCCGTCGCACAGTCGCGACAGCAATATAATTACGCGCGAGCGATAAGGATGGGTAGCTTGGGGTCATTGGACAAAATTCTACGTGCTCACGGACCAGGCTTTAGCAATAAATCGTTTACCGTCCTCCTCGGTCGTGCAGTACACGGGCGGGCTGCGGCGGCCGTCGCCGGCGCCGGTGTAGGCGAGCAGCTGTATGGAGTAGTTGGTGTATTTTCGCAGCGTGTGCAGATACGTGTCCGTTGTCGTCACGCGCTTGATCTCGCCCACGTCCGCTGTGGGCAGGAAATATGACGTCAGTGATTTGTCCACGGCGCGTAGCAATAGCAAACTGGACGCGTGTGTCTTTGAACGCTGTACAATGACGAATATCTACGCTACGCGTCTAAAGCCCGGTCCGTGAGCACGTAGAATTTTGTCCAATGACCCCAAGCTACCACCCATCCTTATCGCTCGCGCGTTTATTATATTGCTGTCGCGACTGTGCGACTGGCACCCGCAGTGAGTGTGCGAGTAGCTTGGGGTCATTGGACAAAATTCTACGTGCTCACGGACCAGACTATACACAGGATTAGCGAGAGGTCCGTAACCAGAGTTCAGCTCGTGGTATTTAGTAAAAAGCAGCCTGTATCTATTTACAATAACCCTACCCTAGTCCGGAATTGTACCCCCAGAGTACCCGTCTCCTCTTATCTCATAGTCAATGATACCAGAGTAAATACAAATGAGTAGGTCATCTTCATAGAAACGCACGGGCGCGGTTTGTATGTGAGCGCGCCAACACGTATGCGGCGCGCACGCACACACTGACAAAATTTAGCGGGGATTAGTTAATTAGATAATTTAGATTTTGTCAGTGTGTGTGTGCGCGCCGCATACGTATATTGGCGCGCTCACATACAAACCGCGCTCGGTGCGTTTCTGTGAAGATGACCTACTCATTTGTATTTACTCTGATGATACTCACCGTGGTCGTTAGTGAGCGGCGAGTAGATGACCTTGTACCCCTGGATGAGGCCGCCGTGCTGGCCGGCGGGCGGCGGCGCCCACGACACCTTGATGCTTGACGACGATAATGGCGAGCAGCTGACTCGCAACGGGTGCGACTCGGGCACTGCACACGGACAAACATTTTATTATCAGTATTAGATTTCAGACATCAGAATGTATTAATTGAAGGCTACTGCGTGCGAGACAAATGCTAAGGGACAGCAATGACCATGATCTTCTGAATTGGTAGCAAAGTGACACAACGCCATAATATTAGCGTGAAAGAAGGAGACCAACAAGCGCGTGGGCCAAGTTTTCCAAAATTATTTTGATGATTAAGTCACTTTTGCTTAAAGAGGATAGTGTGGTAGACGGTGTACTGCGAATGAATGTTTGTTACTGTTGTTGTATTTACGATAGTACGTTAAGCTAAACACTGTCAGGTCTTATGTAGTTGTATAGGAGCGAGTTTGCAACAAAAGTCTGATGTACTGTCTGTAATGTTCATGCAGCTACTTAATTGTCGTAGAAAGCCTTTTACGTGGATGTCATAAGAAGCGACTAATCGACAAATAATACAAGCCCTTATCCGTCTGGCCAACGAGGAAAGTGAAAGCCAGATCCTCTACTTTCCTCTGGTAAATTTTTCTGCTGTGAAAATTATCTAATGGTGCAAAGAAATAAAGCCATAAATTAAATCTGAAGAAGTATTATCTCAGAAAGTATTCAAACTTACCTCCTTCCAGCGTGGTGGCGGTGACGGGCGCGGAGGCGGGCCCGGCGGCGACGCCGTTGAAGGCGCGCACGCGCACCTCGTAGCGCGTGAACTTGCGCAGCGCCGACAGGCTGAGCTCAGTGGCTGACCAGCCGTTCACTGTCAGCGTTCTGGAAAACAAAACAGGTAAGTTAATCGATATGAATTCACAGACACTTAATATTACACTGTTGAATTGTTTTTAAATCAAAATTATCTTTATTTGTTTAGACTAATTAAATTAGTACTTACAAATCGTCAAATGCTCTTAAGGAGCCTATACATGTCACATTCTTTTTTTGCCCTACCAGCGCTTTGAGACAAACATTTGGCAAGTGCTGAGAAGAAGCGCCGCAACAAACTCTAATCTCTAAATCGGAATTTAAAGAATTGGACCCACAGGAAATTAATCAGAAAAACATAGGAGGAGTTTGAAGATAAGGTTCAACTTCCTTCCAATGCAAAGCGGAGGACAGGAGACAAAACAAAGGTACCACAAACAGTAAGGATCAAATATGTGAATCTTTCTTATAAGCCTGATTAGAGGCATAACGGGTTCAACCATATTAAATTACTAATTTTCTGTCAATCACCAGTCGAATCGACACGTGCAGCTCACCCGCTCCGTGCCACCCAGCCGAGCTGCATGTTTACCTGGTGGTGTTAGGCAGCGGCATGCCCTCCGAGCCGATCTCAGTACAGGCTACGGAGTATTTGAGCAGCTCACCGTGCAAGGCGTTGCACGCCGCCTACTCAACATGTGCAGCTCGCCTGTACCACCCGCCAGCTCCTAATGTATCGACTCAATGGACAAACCAGCTGAGCTGCATACTGCATAATTACCTGGTAGTGTTAAGCAGTAGCATGCCCCCCGGGCCTATCTCACAGTATTACGTATTAGTATAGGGCATGTACTGATACGCTCCCAGCAGCTAACCGCGCCAGTCGCTGGCGGCCGCCACAACACTTGCAGTTTTCTCGGCACCTTTTAATGTATAATCATCATCATCATCTCAGCCGTAGGACGTCCTGTGCTAAATATCCCACAATAATTTCCATTTTGCCCGATTGTTAGCGTCCAGCGCCTACCTTTAAGATGTCGTCGGTCCACCTTGTGGGTGGATGTCCCATGCTGCGTTTTCCGGTACACGGCGTTAATGTATAGATTCAATTTATATACTCAGCTGAGCTGCATGTTACCTGGTGGTGTTCGGCAGCGGCATGCCCCCCGGGCCGACCTCGGTGCAGGCCACGGAGTATCCCAGTAACTCTCCGTGCCAGGCGTCGCCACGCCACGTCCGCTCCGTGCCACCCAGCCGAGCTGATGTTACCTGGTGGTGTTCGGCAGCGGCATGCCCCCCGGGCCGACCTCGGTGCAGGCCACGGAGTATCCCAGTAACTCTCCGTGCCAGGCGTCGCCACGCCACGTCCGCTCCGTGCCACCCAGCCGAGCTGATGTTACCTGGTGGTGTTCGGCAGCGGCATGCCCCCCGGGCCGACCTCGGTGCAGGCCACGGAGTATCCCAGTAACTCTCCGTGCCAGGCGTCGCGCGCCGGCGGCCGCCACGACACGTGTAGCTCGCCCGCTCCACCTGCTACCACCTGCACCGATGTTGGAGCCTCGGAGGGCGCTGGAAACGTAGCCAAAGAATGGTTAATGTTAAGCATAGAATGCTCTAAATATCGTGACACAAAGGTACAGGGTCTGCACCTTGGAGGGATGGAAAAGCGACCAGACTAGAATAATTCGTTCGTTCGTTCGTTTCAGCCGAAAGACGTCCACTGCTGGACAAAGGCCTCCCCCAAGGATTTCCACAAAGACCGGTCCTGCGCCGCTTGCATCCAGGTACCTCCCGCGACCTTCACCAGATCGTCGGTCCACCTAGTAGGAGGCCTGCCCACGCTACGTCTTCCAGCTCGTGGTCGCCACTCAAGAACTTTCCTGCCCCAGCGGCCATCAGCTAGAATAATTACTTAATCACTATTTACCCTACGGAACGGATTTTCGAATTTTCGCTCGCTGGGGCCATGATGGGGTCAATGAAGTCCGACGTTTAATAATACGATGTAGAGACTCAAAAACAACTATATAAAATCCTTTATTTATGTTTATAATGTAACGATTTAACAAAAAAAAAACAATCGACGAAAATTTCAAAAAATAAAATTTTTACCTGGCCTGGTAGGAAAGTGCAGTGTCGGACAAAATTGACCGCGTTGGCGTTCAATGTGTTAAGAGATAAAAGTTCGTACGGGGAGAAAAGCAAGCGAAGTCGAAAGTACAGCGGAGTAGGGACAGGTTTCTCTGTAATTTTGGAGTGGCCATAAAATGACGACATTGAAAACAAAATTTCGGTTGTTTTTGTTTTGATGAAAAGCAAGAGATTGATTGGTCCCATTAATTCCCATGCATTCTTTGCTACATTATCATTAAGAGGAAGTATTACTGCCTTGTTTTACCGCCAGAGCGCTGCCTATTTCGCTACTACGCACCCCTTATTTCGTTTATAGAAATTCTTATGCCCGTTTTCACCATCAATCCCTAATGTTTAAGTGACCCCTATGGTAACACTTATAAGGTATTTTTCTTTCATATGGGTCTATCTATCTTTAGGTCATGATTGAACCTGAGATAACCTAAAGGACAGTGAATGTTACCTTCTTCCTGCGTCTTGACGACGACGGGCTCGGTGTAGGCGCTGCGGTCGATGTGGTTGACGGCGGCCACGCGGATCATGTAGGCTGTGTGCGGCCGCAGCCCGCTCAGGAACGCCTCGTAGTGGATGTCGCCCTTCTTAGTTAGCCTGGGAAGGAAATAAAAAATAATTATGACAATATACAAAGATTGTAGTAACACGGTTTGGAGATATGGTGCTGGAGACGGATGCTGGGAATATCGTGGACCGAGTTTCGTACCAATGGCTCCATAATAAAAGAACTCGGCATCAGACAGCGCCTATCAACCACGGTTCAGTCACGCATTTTAACCTTCTTCGGCCATGTTTCTCGGCGCAGTAATGACTCCATAGAGCATCTCGTAGTGTAGGGAAAAGTTGAGGGCACCAGACCACGTGGTAGATCACCAATGAGATGGACGGACCAGATCAAGGCCGCAACTAAGTGCTTGGTTAGCGAAAGTACCCGGAAAGCTGCAGTCCGCGAGGAATGGCGCCGTATTACGAGGGACATCACTCTGAATCGTGATTTACAATGATGACCAGGACCACTCTGACAAGAGGGTACCGACTGAGAAAAAGAAGTAACATGGTCCATTGTGGAAATACTTAAGAAAGGTCTTAGTCAAGCTATGGATGTCCTTTGGCTGAAACGAAAAAAGTACGAATGAACTTCGATAAAAAATATAGTGACCCTTCGGATTATTGTCTTGCCTTGGGAAAGTTTTACCTTTTAAGTATCTTAAGATAGTCGAAGAGTAGTAAGAATATTGAGGGTTGTAATGCGGCGACAGCCCAGCAGAAGCGTCGAGTTGTCATCGAAGCCCTGGCTCCCCACAGCCTCGTGACTAAAGCCCGGTCCGTGAGCACGTAGAATTTTGTCCAATGACCCCTAGCTACCCATCCTTATCGCTCGCGCGTAATTATATTGCTGTCGCGACTGTGCGACTGGCACCCGCAGTGAGTGTGCGAGCGCGACAGCAACATAATTACGCGCGAGCGATAAGGATGGGTAGCTAGGGGTCATTGGACAAAATTCTACGTGCTCACGGACCAGACTATACACGAATTCTTCTGATCACGCTAACTATAACGTGATTAGAAGCGGCCTGCACTCACGTGACGGGCGCCTGCACGCCGGCGCGGAGGGACACGTTGTGCGTGACGGCGGCGTCCCACTGCGCGGCGCGGACGGCGCCCTGCGGGACAGCGCCAGCCCTGGCATGTAGCGTGACAGCAGCGGCCTGCACTCACGTGACGGGCGCCTGCACGCCGGCGCGGAGGGACACGTTGTGCGTGACGGCGGCGTCCCACTGCGCGGCGCGGACGGCGCCCTGCGGGACAGCGCCAGCCCTGGCATGTAGCGTGACAGCAGCGGCCTGCACTCACGTGACGGGCGCCTGCACGCCGGCGCGGAGGGACACGTTGTGCGTGACGGCGGCGTCCCACTGCGCGGCGCGGACGGCGCCCTGCGGGACAGCGCCAGCCCTGGCATGTAGCGTGACAGCAGCGGCCTGCACTCACGTGACGGGCGCCTGCACGCCGGCGCGGAGGGACACGTTGTGCGTGACGGCGGCGTCCCACTGCGCGGCGCGGACGGCGCCCTGCGGGACAGCGCCAGCCCTGGCATGTAGCGTGACAGCAGCGGCCTGCACTCACGTGACGGGCGCCTGCACGCCGGCGCGGAGGGACACGTTGTGCGTGACGGCGGCGTCCCACTGCGCGGCGCGGACGGCGCCCTGCGGGACAGCGCCAGCCCTGGCATGTAGCGTGACAGCAGCGGCCTGCACTCACGTGACGGGCGCCTGCACGCCGGCGCGGAGGGACACGTTGTGCGTGACGGCGGCGTCCCACTGCGCGGCGCGGACGGCGGCGCGGACGGCGCCCTGCGGGACAGCGCCAGCCCTGGCATGTAGCGTGACAGCAGCGGCCTGCACTCACGTGACGGGCGCCTGCACGCCGGCGCGGAGGGACACGTTGTGCGTGACGGCGGCGTCCCACTGCGCGGCGCGGACGGCGTCTTAAAACTACACGTAATAAGCGTATTAAGTGCTTCGTAAACGCATTCAGTTAATTAGGAAAAATGATTTTAGTGATTTTTGTTTTTATTTTTTTTCTCAATTATATCTTAATATATGCAAACATTTTTAAGTGCAAGATATAGTCTGATATTTAGTCTAATTGCATAAAAAAAATCAACTTTAAATTCCGTGATATATTTGAGGAAAATCAAATTGAAAATATGCGCAATATAGAATTGTAAATTTCCCATCACTTTTTAATAGCAATATTTCTTTTGGATGTTTAAATATCATCAGCTCGATTGTACCAAATTATTGTATTGACATTCGATTTACATAGGTTTCAAATCGATGAGAAAATTATTAAAGGTAGGATAAATTTCGACTTCCTAGATTAGTTTACATACTTTTTTAGTTAGTTACTTACATACAACTTAAGTTAATATAAGAGTGTTAAAAAAGAAAAATAACTCGACTTGAGAACCTCCTCCTTTTTTTGAAGTCGGTTAAAAACAATGTGAATGTGACTTTTTAGAACCTTCAACACTATGCACATAACAGGCGGGATTTGAAACTTTTTAGACATGAATTATTCCTTCCAAAATTGTCGACCCTAGACTCGTAAAAATTTTATTAAGACGTTTTATGTTTTTTCTCAAATATATCACGGAGTTTAAAGCTGATTTTATTAATACAATTAGATTAAATATCAGACTATATCTTGCAATTCAAAATGTTTGCATATATTAAGGTATAATTGAGAAAAAAAATAAAAACAAAAATCACTAAAATCATTTTTCCTAATTAACTGAATGCGTTTACGAAGCACTTAATACGCTTATTACGTGTAGTTTTAAGAGCTCTATGAAGTATTGTAACAATTCTGAATTAAATGTTATTAGTTAACGAGTGAGAATATTTTTGCATAATTTTGAAGTAAAAAAATAGGTGACTTTGAATTTTTATAACGCGAAAACTACGTGGAATTTTCAAACGGGAGTTTTACTATCATGTTTGTATAACTGAGCTCTATACGTTTCATCAAATCAATGAGAATGTCCGTTTATACAGTCCCATAACACACTGTGCGGCGGCGTCCCACTGCGCGGCGCGGATGGCGCCCTGCGGGACAGCGCCAGCCCTGGCATGTAGCGTGACAGCAGCGGCCTGCACTCACGTGACGGGCGCCTGCACGCCGGCGCGGAGGGACACGTTGTGCGTGACGGCGGCGTCCCACTGCGCGGCGCGGACGGCGCCCTGCGGGACAGCGCCAGCCCTGGCATGTAGCGTGACAGCAGCGGCCTGCACTCACGTGACGGGCGCCTGCACGCCGGCGCGGAGGGACACGTTGTGCGTGACGGCGGCGTCCCACTGCGCGGCGCGGACGGCGCCCTGCGGGACAGCGCCAGCCCTGGCATGTAGCGTGACAGCAGCGGCCTGCACTCACGTGACGGGCGCCTGCACGCCGGCGCGGAGGGACACGTTGTGCGTGACGGCGGCGTCCCACTGCGCGGCGCGGACGGCGCCCTGCGGGACAGCGCCAGCCCTGGCATGTAGCGTGACAGCAGCGGCCTGCACTCACGTGACGGGCGCCTGCACGCCGGCGCGGAGGGACACGTTGTGCGTGACGGCGGCGTCCCACTGCGCGGCGCGGACGGCGCCCTGCGGGACAGCGCCAGCCCTGGCATGTAGCGTGACAGCAGCGGCCTGCACTCACGTGACGGGCGCCTGCACGCCGGCGCGGAGGGACACGTTGTGCGTGACGGCGGCGTCCCACTGCGCGGCGCGGACGGCGCCCTGCGGGACAGCGCCAGCCCTGGCATGTAGCGTGACAGCAGCGGCCTGCACTCACGTGACGGGCGCCTGCACGCCGGCGCGGAGGGACACGTTGTGCGTGACGGCGGCGTCCCACTGCGCGGCGCGGACGGCGCCCTGCGGGACAGCGCCAGCCCTGGCATGTAGCGTGACAGCAGCGGCCTGCACTCACGTGACGGGCGCCTGCACGCCGGCGCGGAGGGACACGTTGTGCGTGACGGCGGCGTCCCACTGCGCGGCGCGGACGGCGCCCTGCGGGACAGCGCCAGCCCTGGCATGTAGCGTGACAGCAGCGGCCTGCACTCACGTGACGGGCGCCTGCACGCCGGCGCGGAGGGACACGTTGTGCGTGACGGCGGCGTCCCACTGCGCGGCGCGGACGGCGCCCTGCGGGACAGCGCCAGCCCTGGCATGTAGCGTGACAGCAGCGGCCTGCACTCACGTGACGGGCGCCTGCACGCCGGCGCGGAGGGACACGTTGTGCGTGACGGCGGCGTCCCACTGCGCGGCGCGGACGGCGCCCTGCGGGACAGCGCCAGCCCTGGCATGTAGCGTGACAGCAGCGGCCTGCACTCACGTGACGGGCGCCTGCACGCCGGCGCGGAGGGACACGTTGTGCGTGACGGCGGCGTCCCACTGCGCGGCGCGGATGGCGCCCTGCGGCGACAGCGGGCAGTGCTGCAGCGAGTAGCCCAGCAGCGGGGAGTTGCCGTCGAAGCCCTGGCTCCACGACAGCCGCACGCCCCGCGACAGGATCTCCGTCACTGACAGCGAGTGGGGCGTGTCTGGCTTCTCTGTGGAGAGCGAATAGAGAATGTATGACTAAATAGAAGAAATGCAGTCTTCTTCTTTTCGTGTTCGGGTTGACACTGTGTAGGTTTGTTGTCGACACGAAAAGAAGGAATGCAGTGTGAGGAAAGGAAACCACAGAGGGGTATCCGATCCAAATTCGTTAAAATACTGAACTAGAACATGAAATAGACATAGGATCGACGCATCTAAGCAACTGCTTTTTATCCTGTGGATTATAATCATGTGACTTGGTGATTAGTAAGCTACCATTCGGAATGCAATCTGAGGGGAATTGTATAAAGCAATCGTAATTATTTGACAGTTCATAACGTACGATAAAGTCAGCTAAACAAAGCGTTTGACAGAATAAATCGTACGTTATGAACTGTCGATTGCTTTACGATTACGATTGCTTTACACAATTCCACCTCTGGCTAGTGTTTAAAACATTGTCTGCTTCATACCGTCCTACATGTAACAAAATTAAGATGAAGGTTAGAGAAAGCAAAACCTTTGCAGACTTCTGCACATTTCTGATTTCTGAAGACCTAGATTTCTGTGTCGTCTTTAGTGTTCTATCTTATATCAATTTTTATCACCTGGGCCAGGCACGGCCTAGGCCTAGGATGCGCGCCGCGACAAGCGGTTATCACGCCATTTTATTGATTTTGCCCATACATTTTGACGTCGATAAGAGTATATCAGGGTGCGCATCCCAGTCTGGCAGAACAGCCTTATATATTGTGTGCAGACTCACCTTGGACGGAAAGGTAAATGTAATGGTCGCTGTGGCCGTACGCGTTGACGGCCTGGCACTTGTACACGCCCGAGTCGAGGCGCTCGGCGCGGCTGATGTACAGCTGGGACCTTAAACCACTATCAGTCTTTGCTTCGGAGATACTTAGCCTGCGGACGGGGGACAACGTGTAAGATATGGAACATTCAAATGATATTATAGGGGAGAGTTCGGTATATTGTACCGCCGGGTAAATTGTACCACCCTTATATTTCGTAAAGTATTTATTGAATGTCTGTAATTGCAACACTCAGCGATACACAACTAAAATCAATTAATATCGGCCATGTGGTTTTTGCCGTGACAACAAACACGTGTGTTTTATTTTGAAAAGTATTTTTTCATTGTTTTCAAGTAACTTTTGACAATACATGTTAAGTTTGTAATTTTCTTAAATTTAATCACAGGGTGTTTCTAATATATTATTTAGAAGCGTAAATTAGTGTGGATTACAATAAATTATTTGAAACATTTTTGGGTATTTATAAGCTATATTTTTTACCGATTTTTTAAAAGCACTATCACCTAGTCGGCTAAATTGTACCACATCAAGTTGTATGGAACTTTACCAAAGGATTTTGATTTTTTTTTTAGTAAATCATATTTTGAAGTTATAATAGCGTAGGTAGTTATGTTTGACTAACAATAAATTAAAGCAAAAGACTGGCAAAGTAGATTAGGTACAAGTGTGCGTTACGATAATTGAAATTACAAAACTTGTACTCAAAATCGTGATAACGTGTAAAACAATATCGATTGTCTATGTTATTAACTACTGTTCCTTTTCGTTTCCTAATTTGTTAAGAATGTATCATATAATATTTTGCCATAGTATAGACTTGAAATTTATTGAAATCCAATTTAGTAACCCTGTGGTACAAATTATCGAACCGGTTGGCTAAATTGGACCGAAGCTCTGAACTCGTACTTTGTTGATTTGTGCTAAATATACAACAATCATGTTAATTAATACTTATGAAATAGTAAGTTGAATAATGTATCTTTTATTATATACCATGGACATTAGCAAAAACAAAAGAAAACTATGTGTAAAATGGGATTGAAAAAAACTGGTCCAAATTAGCGGACTCTCCCTTACATCAAATTCTTATACAGGTAAAAATGGCTGATAAATTAATTTAATGAGGGCTGCTGTCTTATTGAATTAGATTGAGATCTGCAGGAAAACCAAAGTGACCGACATAGCCCGTAGAATGGCTAAAATCAAGTGGCAGTGGGTGGGACACATACTCGTATACTGCATACTGATGGCGTTGGGGCAGAAATGTTGTCTGGGGCTAAAAAACGGGCTGAAAGACGTAGTGTGACACTAGGTGGGACAACAATCTAGTGAGGGTCGTGGGTAGCACCTGGATATGGGTAGCGCAGGACCGCTCATCGTGGAAGTCCTTGGAGGCGGCTTTTGTCCAGCAGTGGACGACAATAATTGGCTGAAACGACGAGGGCTGCCGAATTTGCGCTCAACAGTTGGCGTCACAGCGTCACTGTAACCTTTCTCTAGTGGCTAAGATAGTGGCGCCAACTGGTGAACGTTGTACTGGTGTACAAAGACTATCGTTTTGAACTTACTAGGATGGCGCCACTGTAGAATAAAATCTTGTCACTCGTTAGTGGCGCCAACTAGTGAATATAAATACGATAGCCCTCATTAACTTTAGATGGATAGTCTAGAGGTGAGCCAGTCAGATGTGATTAGCTGCGTCTACACCAGGTGCATGGGGCTCGCGAGCCAAGCTTGTCATCTTGCTCACTCAAGAGCAGGGTAAGCAGGACCAGAGTAAATACAAATGAGTAGGTCATCTTCATAGAAACGCACCGAGCGCGGTTTGTATGTGAGCGCGCCAATACGTATGCGGCGCGCACGCACACGCTGACAAAATTTAGCGTGGATTAGCGGGGAGTTGCGCCGAATTTTGTCAGTGTAAATAAATAAATAAATAAATATCCTTGGACATTTCACAGTGCGCCTCTAGTCCCAAACTAAGCAAAGCTTGTACTATGGGTACTAGACGACGGGATAAACATACTTAAATACTTTTTTTTTTGTAAATACATACATATTATACATAGAAAACACCCAGACCCGTCACATAAATTAAAATTCATCATTTCAATTTCTGCCCGGGCGGGAATCGAACCCGGGACCTCTCTGCATAGTAGTCCGTTCTGAACCACTACACCAAAGGGCCGACAACAAGTGTGTGCGTGCGCGCCGCATACGTATTGGCGCGCTCACATACAAACTGCGCACGGTGCGTTTCTGAGAAGATGGCCTACTCATTTGTATTTACTCTGGCAGGACGTCAAGCGTGCTTCGCGAGTCCATGCGCCGTGTGAGCACAGCGTCAGGCCTGGCTCACTCCGCGCGGTACATCCGATAATTAACTACAGCGAAGCGCCCCGCCGGCGGGTATTATATCAGTCGAGTGTCACGCGCGCGCCCGTCAGGACGCTGGCGTGCGTTGTAGTATGATTATAATTCTATGATCGAAGTATTATTGCAAAATGGACATAAAGAGAAAGAAATATTATTGTGCGGCGTTCGGGTGTTTAAATTCGAAAAGAAATCTATTGGATTTATCTCTTTTTTCGCTTCCCAAAGATGCTGAAAGGTATGTTGGCCATGTAGGTAATCAATAATTCTTAGGATAGTATAGGAACCTAACCTACCATGACTACTGCTCGGAATGTGTTCGTTCGTTTCAGCAAATTAATGACGTCCACTGCTGGACAAAGGCCTCTCGCAAGGTTTTCCATAATGAATGCGTATTTACCTACATACCTACGTACCTCATCTACACTAATAATATAAAGAGGAAAACTTTGTTTGTTTGTTTGGTTGTAATGAATAGGCTCAAAAACTACTGGACCGTTTTTAAAAATTCTTTCCCAATTCGAAAGCTACATTATCCACGAGTAACATAGGCTAAATTTTATTTTGGAAAAAAGAGGGTTCCGTAAAATATGTAGATAATGTAGTCCACGCGCGCGCAGTCGCGGGCGGAAAGCTAGTTACAAATATGTATATTAATTATTTTTTTACTAGACACTACTAGACAGCAACCCTAACAGCGTAAGAAGAGTTCAGAGGCACGCGATAGAAAGAGACAAAACTTGTAGGTGAATAAAATTGTAGGTACGTAGTGCTGTGCGAGCTGAATTCCACTTTATCGCGTCGTAGCAAGACTCGCATTTATTTAAATCGTCTTGCGGAGTAATCCTTCTGTACCTGTACTATTACTTATTCTGTGACAGCGTTTACCTATAAGAGTTAAGATCTAGATGGTTCATGTTGTGCGCCCACGTGACGCGGATGGGGCCGTCGCCGCGCACGTCGCACGCCAGCGTGGCGGCCGCGCCGCGCCGCGCCGTCATGTTGTGCGACGTCAGCTCGAAGCGGGCCGGCTCTGGGAATAGGAGGTGTTAATATTAGTACATCGGATTTAGGTGCCAAGTGGATTTATTAGGTGATGAGAAGAAGATACCAACCAAATTCATAAAATCTGAATAAACAACAAATATGTATGGCAGATTTTTCTAATTAAAAAGAAAAGAACAAGATATCACCATAGGTGAGCGCGCTCTAGCACTTAATCTTCTTTATCCTTTATATTACGAACACGAAGTTAGGTGAAGCTATCTAATATAATTTTAAGCTCGTAGGTATATGTGGGTTAAAAAACTAAGAACAATGTACTAGGTACAAATGAACAAACACTCGGAGGACAAAGGAAGTATCTGGATGTGGGTGGCAACGTAGAACCGATTGTCGTAGAAATGGCGTCGTGTCTTTCGGTTGAAAAGGAACAAACAATCAAATTATAGGGGTGTTTTTGTGATTGTGATCTTTCCTTTTTTCTGTGGTAAATTTGAGAGGGTCGTACAGTTTTTGAATAAAGAAAAATACTTCTCTTTTTCTTTATTCAAAAAACCACAGCTCTTTATAATATTAATACAAACAGGTATTTTTTATAGTTTTTACAGCCAATAATAATATATTAATAATATAATGACCTGACGACAACGCCACAAACTTAGCTTCCACTTCCACTCACCATTGACAGCGACGGTGATAGTCTTGGTGAGCGCAGTGCCCACGCCGTTCTCACTCCTGCACATGTAGTGGCCCTCGTCGTATGGCAGCGCCGCGTCGATCCACAGTGTGCCGTTCGCCACGAACTGGAAGCGCCCGCCCAGGTTCACGAGCGGGATGAAGTCAGACGATGACGGGCCTGGAGATAAGAGCATGAACTGTAGAAGTAGCCTTCTCTCAAACGTCTTCACTAGCGAGCGAGTTAAAAAAATATATTATGAAGATTTTAGTTCATGAAAGTTTCCGCTAGGGGCACTGTACAATCCGTCATACATACAGTGTGAGTCACGTTAAAGTGCACTTATGAAAATAGATGAAACTAGACCTATTTTTATAGACAAAAAAAGAGGTAAAAAAATGATTGAGATTTTTTTTGAATTTTTTATAGAATTTTTTTTTCTTCCAATTACTTATTGTACAAAAACGTAATAACTTTTAAACTAAGCGGTATATCCTGATAAAATAAAAACAGTAATAATGCTAAATAACAGGCAATACTAAAAAAAATACATAGGTAACATACACAAAAAAGGCCTACAAATAATAAAAAATGATACTTTTTGAAAAATTTGCTTTTAATTTCGTGTTTTTTTGGTTATTTCTCCAAAAAATGCCCCTATAACCGGTGGTTTTTATTACTCTGTATTATTCTCTATCGTATTACCTACGTAAAACCGTTTTTTTTTATAAAAAAATTAAAAAAAATCTCATAAATTTTTTGACCTCTTTTTTGTCGATAAACATAGGTCTAGTTTCATTTATCTATTTTCATATGTGCACTTTAACGTGACTCACACTGTATATTGACACTTTTTTACGCAGTCGACATCGAATCATCATCATCATCATCATTTCAGCCATAGGACGTCCACTGCTGAACATGGGCCTCCCCCAATGATTTCCACAATGGCCGCTTGATGGCGGCCTACATCCAGCGCCTTCCCGCTACCTTTATGAGGTCGTCGGTCCACCTTGTGGGTGGACGTCCTACGCTGCGCTTTCCGGTACGTGGTCTCCACTCCAGAACCTTGCTGCCCATCGGCCGTCAGTTCTGCGACATCGAATGCGTTTGACATAAACTCACACTACGCCCCCTGATAGAAATAAAGGTAAGGTATAGCGTATGTTAAAGCAATGGAGGAGCAGTGCGAAAGGGTGTGTTTTTTTGCGTCAAGTCAACAGTGAGACTTTTGATGTGCTTCAGACATGTATGCCATGACACTCTATTTTCCAGATTAATCACCCCTCCAATAGGAACCGTTTCAGTTACACGCTATACTACTTGTAGCTGTTTGAAGTGCCACCACTAAAGTTGCTTATCTTCCTTCATAGAAAAAAATCAAAATAATGTTTTGGAAGTTGTCTTTACCTCTCTGTTTCATCCAGGTGACTTGTGGCGTGGGTGAGCCCGTAGTCTGGCAATGCAGAGCAAGAGGCTCTCCAGCCAAAACGGCTTCGTCCTTCGGTTCCATCACCCACTTGGGAGATACTGCAGCATGAAAGTAATTCCAAATGTTATAAAATGAACAAGGAATGTTCGAACTTAGTTATTTAGTTAAAATTTTGCGGGAGAATGCTCATAAGCCAAAGTTTAGATTCACATAAAATACAAATCGGTTTTCTTCTTGGTTTCTTGGTAACATGAACATTCTCCTTTACTCTAATGCTACAAACTAAAATAAATCTTACTTAATGTTTTTTTACGGTTACCTGATCCTGGCAGCATTTAGGTAGTTAGGTTTGGTTGGAACGTTTTTTAAGTTACAAATAGTGCACTTTTATTTATTATGAATATTTTGATATTTTATTTATTTTTATATCTTATTGAAATACATTACGATTATATTTAAAAGTGTCAAAAGTTCTTTAAAAATGTGTAAACAATTACCCATTTCAATAGCCATCTAAAATCCAACGCTGAGCAAAACAAAAATAATTAACTGTGAGATACTTTATAAAAGCCTTCCTGAAATACATTTAGATAAAAATAGAAATTTATAAAGGTGTAATCAAAAGAAGCGACGGTGGATGGATCTTTGTGAACTGGAGTTTTGACAAATATAGGGAACAAGAACGATATTTGAGATATCAATGCACAAAAACTCTCCAGACATAGGCGGTGACAATAGACCAGTGCTCGATTAGATTTTCAAACATTAGGGGATCATAGTGCAGGTGCAAGCGTGATCGGTGCGGTTCTGGTGCGAATGCTCGTGAGTGCTCGGTGCGTGTGCTCGGGTGGTAGTATTGTACCTTTGACCACCAGCTCGGCGGTATAGTTAACTTTGGCGGCCGAGTTGGACGCCACGCACGTGTAGAGGCCGCTGTGGCGGGCGGACACCTCTTTGAAAACGAGGTTGCTGAAAAAATCGGCGCCCCGCTCTTCCACCTATGTAACCAAAGCTCACTTCGGTGAGTGTTCAATGCACAGACCTTCGACTGAAGCGTCTTTAGGAATATAGTATACATTATTTTTTGATGTTAACATTTTTCATTTGGACGATAAGGGTCGATCACAGGCAAGTAAACCTACAGTTTTATTGTAGGTGCCTTCAAAGTTTTAAGTGAACTCTAAAAAATTTCCCTGTCCCTGTTTTTTTAACCCTTTTTAAACCATACATTTTTTGGTGCGATTCGCAATTTTTTCACTAATCTGCTTAGAGCTCTTTCAAATTAGACGTTTTGAGACGGACGTTTGTCGTCCGTTTGCAGGAACGCACATCGAAAATTGTATAACCGGACTGGTGTAACGAGTAAAGTAATCCACCGTGTAATGTAATGGAAATAGTACGGACAGCACTTTACATGCTCGTAGTGCCGTCCACACGTAGAATTCTTGATAGGTACATTACATTACAAGTAATCAAGATTAAATATTGTTTTTTATCCTAATAAATAAATAAAAATATCTTATATTACACCCGTCTGCACTCGCCTTATGAAAACTGCGTTGGAATAAAAATGACAAACAATTACCTTAGATTAGACAATTACTAACAGAGTGTCAAGTCTTGCAAACGGACGACTCCGTCTCAAAACATCTAATGTGAAAGAGCCCCTATTCTTATTTGTAATAAAGTGTATATCTCTGTACCTGCAGGGCGGAAGGGATGGGCGCGTTGTCCTTGAGCCAGGTGAAGTGGACCGGCATGTCGCCCGACGTCACGCTGCAGCTGACCTGAGCGCGCTTGCCTTCCTGCAGGTTGGCCGAGAACGAGAACGGCTCGATTTCGGGGGGATCTGGAAACAAATTAATCTCGTAGAAACTAGATTTTATATTTTTTTTACTTGTTTTGTAGGTTTGTCTTCTTTTTATTTTTTTAGTAGGTTTTAAGTTGTTTTAGAGGTCGTGAAAATCATGTGAAATTTATACTATGGTACGCAGCGCCTCTTTAATAGCAATAATTATTTCGCAACCAATCACCCAAGCATAATTACTTTACTGCGAGTTTTTCTGTCTGCATTGACTTTGTTAGGCTTCGAATGTTTGTGCTAGCAATGCTAATTGAGTCAGAAGCAGAAAGCTTGATCTTTTAGTGGATCACCATAACACCAACCATATATTTTATTCGACGACGATGGGGTGATCGCTCCGGGTGCCAACCCATGCTACGCCGCCACTGCAGCAAGGTTCTGGAGTGGAGGCCGCGTGCGGAAAACGCAGCGTGGGACGTCCACCCACAAGGTGTACATCATCATAAAGTACTTGACTAGTCAGTATAAAATGAAACAAAGTGAAGTCTCACTGCTAACAACGAGCTGCAAGTCCCTCCGTGCGATCTCTCCGTGGGATCCCATGACGGCGCAGCTGTAGGAGCCGGCGTGCGACGGCTCCACGCGCGCCAGCCGCAGCGCGCCGTCGCCGCTGCCGTCCCACTCCACCGGGCTGCCGTCCCGCTCCCACTTCACTGACCTGAGCATTCAAAGTGATGATGTCATCATCATAACTGATACCAAGAGTGAAATAACGGAATCGAAATCTAGTAAAGAAGCTTTTTCTCTTCATGATAGTTAAGAGCCACAGTACGAGTACACATGCTATACTATTAGCATCGGCGATCGGTGATTCTGCCGTTTTTGATGCGATCCGATGCTGCATCGATACAGTCTAGACTACATCTCACTTAACACCAGGTGCGACTGCGGTCAAATACCTACCTGCCTTGTCACATACAAAAAAAAGTCGCAAAATCTACGATCGCCGATGCTAAAAGTAGCATTTCTGCTGTGGCCCCAAATTCACCTACATTTTGAAGACCTAAGACAATGACAAATTAATTTTATTCACAGTTCGGTCATTTTTTCTTGAAAAAAAAAGCCTTTTACAATTAAATAAGTATACTTTTCACTTACGTGATGGGATAGCCAGAGTAGGGACAATACAGGATAAGCTCACGTCCAGCGACTGCTCGTATGGGTCCAATCGATCTGACGTATGGTGGCCCTGCAATATCAAGCAAACTGATTTAAATAAAGATATAATACTAATTTCCAATCAAATCTTAACAGCGCACAAATACACGTCCCAAATATAGCTTGCTTTACCACCACTTCAGGATAACATATTTTATGGGCTGGTGCTAAAAAGAAGTATCATGTGGTTCTAGCAGAGTAAATTATGATCACACTACTTACTCTCCTCGTTAGTATTGACAAATATGTGAACATCAGGCCTCCTTAACTGGCCAGAGTGTGGGCCAAATCCTTCATTTGGCTTAGGTTTGTGCTCATGTAGTACTAAATAACTTGATATTGATGGTGAGTGTAGTAATATGACAGTCACCGTAGATGTTGAGCCGCGAGGTGTGCGCGGCCTCGCCCAGCGAGTTGGCGGCGCGGCAGGTGTAGAGCCCGCCGTCCTCCGAGCGCACCGCCGAGTGTTCAGGTAGCTCACCACGTCGTGGCCTTGGTGGCTCGCTGCTCTAGCTGTATCAAGTGTAGGGCGCTAGTCACCGTAGATGTTGAGCCGCGAGGTGTGCGCGGCCTCGCCCAGCGAGTTGGCGGCGCGGCAGGTGTAGAGCCCGCCGTCCTCCGAGCGCACCGCCGAGATGTTCAGGTAGCTCACCACGTCCGTGGCCTTGGTGGCGAACTGCTCCACGCTGTATCTATTCAAAAATACAATTAGTGTGTCACTAAGTAAGAAATACCAAAATTTTTAAATAAAAAAGTAAGTGTTCTTCCACTAGGTGAATCGACGATCTGGTGATGGTCGCGGAAAGCACCTGGACGCAAGCAACGCAGGCCTATCATTGAGAAAATCCTTGCTGAACAAAACTTGCTGAAAATAAACTATGACATTAATCAACAAACAAAACAAAGTTAGTGCAACATTAAAAGTAAAGTATGCTATGCGTAAGCATAGCTACAACTTTCTAAACATTTAATTACAGCCATGTTTACGTTGGAAATCATTGAATACTTATTTATTTTTAACATTCCGCTGCTGCAGTTCCATTAAAGTTTAGAGGTAGATAGGTACTTATTCCTAGAAACAATTTTCACCTCTTCTTTGATGTTTATCGAAACCTAATTGGAAAAGATTCGCGGAAAATGTTTTCCAATGTTTCCGTCTAGCAAACCTCATTAACAAGTAAGGTAAATAAGAAAATTCAATTGCAAAAAATACATTTTTTAGTTTCTGCTGACCTGTGACCCCTGGCGATGGTGTTCAATGGCTGCCCGTCTAGCAGCCAGGAGAAGTGCGGAGGCGGCGAGCCGACTGCGGAGCACTTGAGGGTCACCACCTGCCCCGGCCTGAGGACCTGCTCTATGAACGTGTACTGGAGTTCGGGCGCTGTGTCTGTTGAGGAAGAAATATTTGACTTAGATCACAAGACAGACTGAAGAGATGAAGATACCTAATTAAATAAATGGTTCATATTAAGATTCTATCAAAGAAAATAAATACCTAGTTGCTATAGAACGTTGTAAAAATTACTAATTAAGGCATTGGGGGCCGCCTATGTTCAGCAGTGGACGTCCTATGGCTGAGATGATTATGATGATCTTGTAAAAACATAAGCCCTTGATAAAATGAGCTGAAGAATTAGTGATTTTCAAAAACTCGTTGATACTTGATATTTATTTCCTATAGAAACTTGATTTTTAATGATTTTCGTCATTTTGGTACCATAGCGCATGTGAGATATATGATGATGCTATTTTTAGTGTCCGCTGTAGGACCACTTTTCTGAGTTACCTACTGGGGGCAAAGGAGGAAATCTTACCTCCTAGCCTTAATTCAGCGCTGGCCTGCGCCGAGTCCCTCTCATTCCTGGCCATGCATTGGTACACGCCCTTGTCGGCCCTATGCACGGCGCTGATGACGAGCTGCTACCCGTTGTTGATGACGCGCACCCTGCCACCAGCCACGCCGGCTCCGAGCGGAATGCCATTGTGGAGCCACTCGAGCCGCGGCGCCGGCCAGCCGCCCAATGTGCAGTTGATGGTGGCTGTGAGATATAAAGAAGTGTTGCTCTCGAATCTTACCTCCGAGCCTTAGTTCAGCGCTGGCCTGCGCCGAGTCCCTCTCATTCCTGGCCATGCACTGGTACACTCCTTTATCAGCTCTATGCACGGCACTGATGACGAGCTGCTCCCCGTTGTTGATGACGCGCACCCTGCCACCAGCGACGCCGGCTCCGAGCGGAATGCCATTGTGGAGCCACTCGAGCCGCGGCGCCGGCCAGCCACCCCACGTGCAGTTGATGGTGGCTGTACCGCCGCTGTTCACCACCTGAGGATATTGGAGAGGTGGTAGAGACCAATGGAGTAGGACGATAATGAGGATGGTTTACGAAGAATATTGTCTTAGCAAACAAATAAGTATTGAATAGTACGAGACGACGCATGCAATGCTTAACAGTTTACATCGCTCTACACAAGACGATAATTTCTTGATACAATTTTAAACTAATTACAACTGGGATGTACCTACAATAACATTTCATATTCCTGACAGATTTAGGTAATGAGGCGGCAAACACTTGATAATGTTAAGATGCTACATCACCGGAGCATTCACAGGTAATGTAACATATCGAAAACATTAAAGTTAAAGGAATTCAGTATTTTCTTTGCATAGAATTTACGGACTCCATCAGCAAGACGAATGAGTGTTTATTAAAGTATAATTCAGCGCTAAATCAAGTGATTACGTGGTGTAGAAGGGGCGGAGCGCCATTTGCATGAAACATTGCACGACACTGCAAGTATAATGTGCAAGTTGTTATAATTCCATTAACGGTGCTACTCGTATATTGATACGATGTTTAGTTTAAACAGGGAGTAGTTAAAAGTGCTTCAATTCAATAGCATGATCTGAAGGCACAGTTGACTGGGGTTTGCGAAGCGTTTAGGCGTTTTGTTGGCGCCTGTCAGTATTTGCAGGCTGAAATTCAGATTGCAGAAATTAATTATTTTAAAAAGTTGTTCCATTTCTTTTAATGCATTCGCTTGTAACACGTAACGTAGTAATGCAATACAAAGTGTTGGAATTTTTCCTCATTATAAAACTTTCTTGTGACAATATTTTCTTTTTAAAACTTACTGAATCGTTGAAAGACTTTACGTACTTAAGTATTTCCTTTGCGGACTCTTTCCCGTCGCGTTCATCGTTTGAGGATTCCAGATCTAAGTCTGGATCTGCAGATATGGCATTTATTTGCAGATATTATTTACCAGACACTATTTTTAGAGTTAGCAAATTTAGCAATGATTTGAAATGAAATTTCAGTGGTTTTGTAACTAAAATGGAATGGAGGATTGAACTAAAATGGATCGCTGAAATTGAGTTTTAATGGCTCCGATGCACAGAAGATAAATAAAGGGTGCGCNCCTTACGTTTCATTCGCGAAGAACGTACTTCTGTACGTAGTATTTATTATTATTCTATGGTATGAGTCAAAATATTATGGTAATTAATTGGTAACTCTATTATGTGTTATAGAATGCTGTTTGTTTTCCTAACAATAAAATAAAAAATAAATAAAATAATGTTTAGGGATAAAAGTGTTATGATAAAAAACAGTAGGAGTTTAAATATATTTACATAAATGATATTATTAATTACAATTTTCGGAAACATGAGTGTTATGAACATCGCCGGTAGCACTACAAATAGTATGAATGAAAACTTTAGGATGAAAAATTTTAGGAAGAGTGATCATTCGGATTTAAAATCGTTAGGAAGAACAATTTCGGGTAAATAACTTTAGGTGAGCCAATATGGACCCATAAATAAATAACTTGACATTTTATAATCTATTGCTGCTTTCATAAAGTAACAGGTAGCTACGTACGACCTACGTCAGCCTCCCGTACTTAATTAGCGTTAAAAACACTTTCCACCAATTTATGTATAATATAATGCGAAAATGCATCCTGTTACTAGTCTACACACGTGTATAGCACGGTTTGGTAAATAATTCGCGGTGGTCGCCGCAGTTTGTTCCGCGCCGCACATTGCTCGCGTGAGTAGCTGCCGTAATTGTTAATAAATTAACTTCATTAACGACTTGAAACAGTGCAAACTTTAATTAAAATGGCAAATAAGTTACAGAAATCTGATAAATTAATGTAGCTTAATCTTTTTTGTGCTTAAATCTGATACTTATTGCACATAGCATTAAATATAAAAATTCATGAAATTTTAAAAGTCCATACAATTTTGGCAGGAACACAGCATTCAAAAGGAAAAAAGTGTAGACAAAAATAAATAAATCTGCGTAATAGAGCAATAACGGAGTCAGAACAAAGCGTTTTGATTATGCTGCGCAAACAACGGCATGAAAACTATAAATAAAGCGAATAAAGTGCAAAATAAAATATTTCCATTACTCATGAAACTATTTAAGTGTGGCAACACAACGCACTCTCATATTTCAACCTGTATTGCGGCAGTTAAAAATGAATGTTGCTCGTCAAACAAAGTTTTGGAGTTCCACACTTTATTTTTAGTACGATACTAGCTTTCCGCCCGCGGCTTCGCCCGCGTGGAATTTTGTCTGTCACAGAAAAACTTTATCGCGCGCGTCCCTGTTTCAAAAACCGGGATAAAAACTATCCTATGTTCTTTCCCGGGACTCAAACTATCTCTATGCCAAATTTCATCAAAATCGGTTGCGAGGTTTAAGCGGGAAAGCGTAACAGACAGACAGACAGACAGACAGACAGAGTTACTTTCGCATTTATAATATTAGTTGGGATTGCAACGCTAAAAATATTGGTAAAGTCGGTCTATTGACATAGCTATTGATGTTTAATTAAATGTAGAGTCAAAGCCATTTTTTTTTTCTTTGAACATTGAGAAGATTTTTTCTATATTTCAGAAAAATATTGTTTTTAGTTTTGCAGAAGCTCATCTCGAAGTCACATTTTTGCATTGTGCATTCAAACAATTTTTCTAAGAGAGTAATTAGCTTATAAAATCTATGGATTAGCTTATAAATACTTTTCCGAATTCGAGTCTGTAAACATAACGGCGGATTAACGCGCCTGCGAATTATCGGGATTTATTTGCGCGCGCGCTGTAATTAAATGTTCGAAGGCGGGTAAATAACGATCCGGCTGTTTGCTCTATACTACACGAAACGAAAGCTAATGGATTGCAGTTTGACGGCTTGATAAAACAAACTGACTGATGGAAAAAGTAGGTATCGGATTCTAGGTAAATAGTTTTTTGTATGGAATGGAAAATAGGATGGCTATACTCTACAAATTCTACGGTTTTACTCCGCTCTACCCCGAAAAAATCGCCCATTATGGGGTAGCCTTTGGTAGGTAAATGAAGAATATTGGTAGGTATTACTGGTATTATTATTAGTATTGTAAGAGTTTACTCTCTTTTATGAATAATCCTGAAAACTTAAATATAAAATGTCACATTAGCAGTTAGGTATATTCTAATTTAGCAAAGCCTGTAAGTAATGACAGCTAGAACTACAGAATATTAACAATTAACCCTCCTCCCCAATATAGAATTTCCAAGTTGTCTATTGTCATGAAATAGAATGAAAGACCTTCAGAAGCAGGTCACTAGCAGATAGAAATCCGATTTATTTGCCGAATCCAAAGGCTAGTTAGTCTAATACACGCCGCATGTGGCCCAAACCGGATTTACAATCAACCAAAGAGTTTTCCTTTACAAATCTCAATGTTGCGCCGCACAAAGTGTCCTTACGAACAAAAACGTGTGTGACGGAGCGACGGACAGAGCCGAGTAAAAAATCTCGTTACTCGAAAACGGTTGGGGACATTTGAAACAATCTTATTTGCGATTCTCCTAAAAGGGCCCCGCTAACTAGGGGGACGCGGCAGGGTTGCGACCTCGTTAAAACAGCGGTAGAAAAGCTTTCGTTTTAATCCTTTTGGTCAAAAATAGGACGTTTTGTAAACCATAATGTCATCTTTATGTAAGAGAAGTAAAGCAATGTTGTATTTTTGAAAGACGTATTACACTTTTTATCACTGAAATGTTGGTGTATTTTGTGGTGATCTTTCATCCCAAATGAGTGGTTTTTGAGGCTACAATATCCCTTTGTGATGCATCAAATCAATTGCACGATAAACCTGAAAATGCGCATTTTTTTACCATGCTTGCCTCAACCAGTCTCTAACTGTATCTAAACGTGTAGGTCATTATATTGTACCTGCTTACTGACAATAGAGATGCACATTGCACAGCCCTAGCTGCTAAGGCATGTTGCATCATCCCTTCCAATCTGAAACAATCAAGGAGGGTCGCGTCGGACCTCCGTTGGCCTCAAGTTAAGCTTATTGTTGGTAAGCTAATACTTACGGGACTCTCGCAATGACTTTCATTTGAATAGTTTGTCCTAAACAAAGAAAAGAGCCACTATTGTTTACTATAAAGTAGGTAGGTATTTAAAGTTCATCATATTTAAAATATTCGAAAAGATTGCTCGTAACGCTGTATTGTAAAACAACGTCCAAAACATATCAAGTCTCACTGAAGTAAAGATTATGCTTCATATAGTAGAGATACTAGAGGTTCATACATTCTGTCTACATGCAGTCACGCGTTTTCAAACGCGCGAGTATTAAGTATTAACGCGTCATCAGAATCAGCTCTTAAACTCTTTTGAAACTCAATCGTAGATTAAGTTTAAATATTTAAACTCAACACTGCCCTGAATCTGTTCTTAGAGATTAATATTTAAGCACAATTCCGTACATGGGTCTTTCTAAGCATCCCCAACTAGTTGGTACATAAATAAAAACACCTCCAAGTTGCACAATATTTCAGTGTGTACACTGTTGATAAACTTGCGCCATACTTTAAAACTTGGCTGGAAGTAAATCCGTACTTTTCTACGAACAAAACAATTAGCTAATAAATCATACCAAACATTCAAATATACAACGCTTCCAAACTTTAAGTTTAAAAGAAAGTACATACATTAAGCATTCAGCTTGATATCAATCATTTAGAAACATAATTGAACCAATTTACAGACCTACCGTTATTTGGAACTGAAAACTTAATTGTACCTATTAACTTGAATACAAAAAAGCTTACGACTTCATCGAAGCAAATGAAATTGGTCTGAAAGTGTAAAATATTAACAATGTTATAATCGAATGAAGCAATTTAAAATTACCCTGTAATTTCACAATGAAGTCAAAATATATGTTATTGCGTAAATAATAGTGATATCGCAATATTGTAGTCTCCCTGGACGTCATCCCACGGGCCTCGGAGTGCAATGAACTGAG